CTGCACCCCGGCCTCCCGGCCCCGGGGCGCGCGTCCCCTCGCGAGGGACTCCTGGGCTTCTCCGCTTCCACAGAGGCCAGGACAGAAGGGCCCCAGCTTGGGGTGGGGGTCCGTGAGCACTTAGGACTTTGTGCACCAGGAAAATGACCCCCAGCCAGGACGCAGGACAGCGGTCATCCGAGTCAGGATCCCGACCGCAGCAATAGGTTGGTCCCCTTTCTGATGGAATCTGAACCCCGCTTCTCTCAACTTCCAGACAGCGACTTGTTCTGACTTTGAAGAGGGGCTGGAGCAGCAGTGGGTCGGTATGGGCTAGAAAGAGACCTTACCTACGGCTTGATTCTCAGAGAATATCCCCACCCTTTAACCCATCCAGAAACCGCTGGGGGCACTGGGAGGGATTGGGTAGTGGGCCAGAAGGCGCACAGAAGTGGCCCTGGGACTCTCCAGGCCTTAAAGTGGGCCCTTGAACTATTGGAAAAGCCTCAAGTTCTTAGCTCAGTGCTCAGGGGACAGGCTGAGGGCCTGAGGGTCACATTGTCTGAGCAAAAGTGGCCAAGAGGCTGGAAGACTGATAAGGCTAGATGCCTAGGTTTCTATTAAATGGGACTCGGTGTCTCCTGTTCATTGGGAGCAGAAGGGAGAGATGAGTCCCACATCTTGTCCCCTCCAGGCTAGGCTAATAAGAGAGTGGGCCTCTCTCAGTCCCAGCACTGCCCTAACACAGCCACTTCCTCCTCTCCCCAGCCCTCTGTCCTTGAGCCTGCCCTGGGATTAGACAAACTGTTCCCTTTGCACATGTCTGAGCAGACTGGAAGGGGAATCCCTGACGGCTCTTGGCCGACCGAACTAGGGTGATATGCAAACCCCATAGTGGAGGAACCTTGCCCACGGCTCCTGCCTCCTGGCCCACTGAAATTAACCTTTCTGCACCCAGCAGAACTGATCAGAAACCCGGGGTTCCTTCCCTCTTTCCACAGGCGTGAGATGGACCCTGGGCCTAGATGGGCATTGCAGAATAGGGTAGCTAAGCCAGAGAGCTGTGTACAGTCCTGCTGGCTCCCAGTCTCTCCAGGCTTCCCCAGCCCTGGTCAGACACTTGTGACTGAGTTCTGGGCTCTGAACTGGTTGCTGGAGGTCAGGCAGAGCCAACAGTTGTGGGTGGTTATGCCTGGTTGCGTGGCTGACACAGTGTCTGGAGCTTAAGGGTTGGTTACGTGGCCATTCTAACTGGGAGGATCTTGTTCTCTTTGCTTTTCAGGGGCTCTTGAAAAGCCCCTACTTTTTGGAAACCCTGAGGTGTCAGGCAGATTCTGAGTCAGTGGAGAAGGTCTTGAGTGACTTAGCAGGACGTTAGTGTTAATTGACTCAAGACAAGCCCCCCCCTTGGACAGGTTTGAAGTTTGATGTGCTTTCCTGTCTCTTACTACACTTCTCCCTCCCTCGCTTACCCCACCCAAACTTCCTGACAAGCATCCAGCTGACCTCCCCCAGATGTATCACAGAATGGACCTCCACTGTAATATCAGCCCCCAGCCCAAAACACCAAAGAAAAAAATTGCAACTGAATAGTTTTCACCCATTCCCTCACTAGACCAAGACTGGTTCTGTTGGGTTGGTTGTGTGACTCTCACAGGGCCAGAGACTGGGGGTTGTTGCCCTGGGGCACGTGTTATAAGGTGGGTAAGGTCCCAGGTTCTTTCTGGTGGGTGGATGGAAGACTACTAAGGGAGGCAGGGTCCCTCAGTGTGAGTTGAGGGGCTGCGTTCGTCCCCAACCCCCAGGCCAGTGTCCCTCTCGCTCCTTTAGCAATGCTACCTCTGCCCCCAGGGAAGCCTGCCATGGGGTCTTCTGGCTCAGAAGGCTTCAGTGAGGGTGTGCAGGGAACTAGAAATAATGTTGTTTTAATACCTCTTAATCATTTAAAATTTCAAAACCATTTGACTGTTTGCTGAACTGGGGAGGAGCCAGCGACCGTTTCTTAGATTTCCCGCTCCCCTAGACCGCCAGGAGCCCCTCCCCCTCCCCCTCTCTGGCAGCCCCAAAGTTGGTGCTGAAGCTCTTTTTCTTATTTTATTGATTGATTTTTTTTTTACAGAGAGAGGAAGGGAAAGAGAAAGAGAGAGACATCAACTTGTTATTCCACCCATTTATGCATTGATTCTTCTATGAGCGCCGACCAGGGATCAAACCCGCAACACTGGCACATCGGGGCAATGCTTCAACCAACTGAGCCACCCCACCAGGGCTGTACTGTGGGTTCTAATAGAAAATGCCCAGGACAGCATGTCCCACGGGGCACCTTCCAGTGCCTTGCTCTGGTCTCCAATATCTGCCTGGTAGAGATTTTTCTATCCATCTTCCTTGACCCCTCCCCAATCCACCCCTGATACACACACACACACACACACACACACACACACACACACTCACACTCCCTCACGTGATAGATGCCTCTGTAGCCCAGGGTCAAAGGGCTCAAGGGTCTTCCCTCCACCCCCTCTCCCTTGTCCCAGGAGGCCCCAGGCCTGCCTGGGCCCAGATTCTGGCCCTGCCAGAGTATATTTCTTCTCCCAAACGAACAAAAGATGCGACTGAAATGCTCAGCCTCACGCTTCCTGGGGGGGTTAATGGTGTCTTTTTATTTTTTCCTGAGGGGTGTTGATTAATACCTCGTTAACAGCGCATTTAATGACCTCCGGGTGTTTAATAACCTTCAGAAGTTTCCCACAAAGGCTCAGACTCTGGGCAAGAAAATGAGAACCAGGCCCCAGGGCTGCTCCCCTTACCTTCCCCCGCCCCACCAGGGTCTGGGGCCTCCCTGAGCTGATTGGGAAGGGGGTGGGGGTGGAGAGGGAAGAAGAGGGTGCCTGGAACTGCCCCCAGATCCCCCAAGTCGCATGCAGCCCTAGTGATATGATGGCAGACGCTGAGTGGTGCCTTTCCTCGTGCTAGCAGGGCCGGGACAGCCGGCTCCAGGGACAGGGAGCAGAAGGGGCATGCCTGGGATGGAAGGGGGCATGCGGAGTGGAGCTGGGAAGAGTGTGAATCATGGCACAGAGGGTGACAATATGCAGGGACATCTAGCTCGTGGGCTTTGCTCTCCCTGCCACCCCCCACCCCCATCGAGCAGCTCTCCTCCCTACTCTGGCCTGGACAACTCGGCCTTTTTATGTTTCTACCCCACAGGGTGCTGGCTGTTCTGAGCATAGTCTCACCCCCAGCTGGTGTGCAGTGTGGTGGGAGAGGCTGGGAGAAGCAGGGTTCTCTGTGGATGCTGGTTTAGGTGTTAGTGACAAAGTCAGGCTGGGCTTCCCAGAAGCGCCCTGACCAGCTGAGCTGTACCAAGCTCCTCCCCAGGTCATATGGAGTGGGTAGGCCTTTGTGATCATGCCCCCAAAGAACTGACCTTCCCCGGGAGCTATCTCTTACTACCACCCTCACTGATATATGTGCCGCCCCCCACCCCCACCAGCGTGTGCAGAGAACACCCAGCGACGTGCCCTTTAGATTCTTTGTTCTTACTGCTTGTTACCAGTGTGGAGGGAGCTTGCTTCTCCTACAAGGCTTGGGCAGAGAGAGAAAAATGAAACTGCAAAAAAGTGGAAATAATGAGAAATAGACAAAGAATGGAGCAGGGAAGGAGGTATAATAACCATTTGCTGGCTTATCAATTAGCAAACAATATTCTTGTAAAGAACCAGGCTATAGAATCTGCCATAAATTTGAATCCCTGCTCCTGCATTCATTAGCTATGTGACCTTGTGCAAGTAACTTAACTTCTCTGAGTTGGTTTCCTTACCTGTACTTTGGAGGTAATAATAGTACCTACTGTGCCCATTTGAGGTTATTATAAGAATTGGGTTATGGCAGTAAAACATATAACACAATGCCTTGCTCATAGTTAACACATCGTGGCCGTATCAGCCCATTTGCTTGAGTGGCAAGAGGTAAGGGGCTGATGTAGTCAATAGGAACTCAGAGGGCTACAGGGACAGAGGGAGGCTTCCCAGGCAACACAGCTATTCTCTTCTGGCCCCAGCTGAAGCAAAGGCCTAGGGATGGCCGAGGAGGGGGGCTGGTGGCAGAGGAAGAGGGCATAATAGCCCATTCTTCCCTGTCCCCACCCCGGGACCTAATGACCCGCCCTGGGCCTCCCCCAGCTCTATGGCTACTGCTATCAGGACAGTGAGGACATCCCGGACACCCTGACCACCATCACGGAGCTGGGCGCCCCTGTGGAGATGATCCAGCTGCTACAGACGTCCTGGGAGGATCGATTCCGAGTGAGCAGGGAGGAGGGCCGGGCCCTGGGCTCTTTGCTGGGATGGTTCTCCCTTAGAAGGCCAGCCCTCCAGAGCAGCTTCAACTCCTCCTCGG